TCACAGGGCTGACCAGACTGGGACCACTACTCACAGGGCTGACCAGACTGGGACCACTACTCACAGGGCTGACCAGACTGGGACCACTACTCACAGGGCTGACCAGACTGGGACCACTACTCACACAGGTGGCCAGACTGGGACCACTACTCTCACAGGGGTGACCAGACTGGGACCACTACTCACAGGGGTGGCCAGACTGGGACCACTACTCACACAGGGGTGGCCAGACTGGGACCACTACTCACACAGGGGTGACCAGACTGGGACCACTACTCACGCAGGGGTGGCCAGACGGGGACCACTACTCACACAGGGGTGGCCAGGAAAATTACTACATTTTTTTTTCACTTAAAAGTTGTCTGGAGATCTTTGTGTTTTGGTCATTTCCTTATGTCCTTATACAGGCAGTGACTACCTTATAAACATGGTGTCAGAACCATTTTAAAAGTGGGGGGACACACTGTTGGGGGGTCTGGGGGTCCCCCCTCCCCAGAAACATTTGGACAAAATAGATGCCATTTACTGCATTCTGGTGTATTTTACCAGGTTGTTAAACATAATTTTACCGATTTAATTTAATTATTTCAAAGACAGATTCTTCATTAAACTAGTTCTATCATTCTGTTTTTAAACTCACCACTATATCTGAGATAAGTTTAATTAATGTGTCACAATTTATCACATCCAATGATTTAAAGGGTGTTTTTTGTATTTTTATATTGTTTATTGATTTATTTTTAATTGTAACACATGCCATTGTGCCAAATAATGATGACCTTCAACTGCATGTTTAAAACTAACATTATAAATTTTACCCAGTGAATTTAGTGAATTTAGAGGGGTGTTTCACTTTTTTCTGATTTAGTGAAAGGTCTACTCATAATAAACACAGAACATCATGCAGCCTTCATAACATAAAATGACATTGTGTTATGGTGACAAAACAAAACATTTGTCACCATAAGTCCAAAAGTTGACACCATAAATCAGATTATATAGGCATATGTTCTGTATATAAAGAAAATCATCACTTAATCATCATTACTCTTCTTCAGTGATAGACCTTGGTGATATTTCAAACTGTTAAACACTGCCACCAACTGTTCAGGAGGATTGTTACACCCCTACAGGTTGTTTCACTGTGGAAGGGGTGTGTACAGCAGGGTGGCCAAAGAGTTGTCTGTGGTGGCCATGGCCACCCCTGGCCACCACCTGGCTCCGCCCCTGACAGGAGCCTAGAGTGTGCCACTCAACATATTTTCTTACTGACCTGATTACTGAAGCATTTCTCAGTAGAGAAATCAGCACTGTGAGCAATCACATCCTTACTGGACAGGACAGCGTAAACCACAAACTGGATCTCTGGTGCCATGTCTGGAGTCATTGTCAACTTAAAGGACACCATGCCTGCATTCACTGAAAAAGAAAATGAATGTGATACCAGAATTATAAATCCAAAAAGGCATCCACAAATCTATAAAATTTATCAAATTGATTTTTGGCTATGCAAATACAAAGAATATTATGATTAAAAAGTGAGGGACGCAATCTTTACACACCAGATTTATCTTCTAGTTGGACCTGTTTTCGTCCCTGGACAACAATAGCTCCTCTAGATAGGACCTGTGGATTTTGGGGAGGTAAAAATAAAAATGCTTTAGTAAATCTTCGTTTGCTTACTGAATAGGAAGCAACTTGTTTTAGTTGAAAAGGTGCTGGTTTTCTTTTCATGTTACTTTGATATGAGTGAAAGGTTACTGATGTGTTTTAATTTGTTGTTTTTTTAGATTGATTCCACCAGCAAAAACTGCTCAGAGGGACCAGATGGGATTGCAATAGTGTGCGTTTCATGCCCACGTAACATGTTCTCATGCCGTGCCCAAGCATCAATATGTTACAAGTCCGTCCTTGTGGCCCGCTGCTTTTCCGGGTTAGTGTGACGTCTGAGGTTAACATGAGAAATCAGGATTAATGGATAACTTTAGGGTCTGTGGTTAACATGAGGTTAG